TAATTAATATGCTATAAATTATGTAAATAAAAGAAATAAATAAAAGGGGATTTAGGGTCAGTCCCGTAGAGGATTGATCTTAATTAATATGCTATAAATTATGTAAATAAATGAAATAAATAAAAGGGGGATTTGGTTGATTAAATAAATTAAATAAAATTATATAAAAAACTAAAAGAAACAATTTTTGAAATTAAATAATAAAAACAATCAATAATAAAAAGATGGTGAAAAGATCAATCTCCATTTTTCGACAATGAATTTATGATGAATGAATGATAAAATTCTCAATTTTCTTATAGAAACCACCAACAGTAGATAACAATAAGCTCTGCTATCCCAATCTTTTCTTAGTTTGTCGTTAAATAAAATAAGCTATTTATTTAATTCTCTTTCTATCAATTTAACCTGGAACACGCTCTCTAGATTCAATTCAAAAGAAGCATTACGATGAGAAATATAGGTTGACCTAGGCAATAAATACACAAGCTTGGAACATACAACTTAGGTTATGCTCTTCATGCAATCGAATAAAAACCTCCTGCAATTATTGATCACAATTCACTACTGATAATTAGAAACTCAAGACAATTACTGATAAAGAATTACTAATCTAGCAATAGATAATTTTTAAATCCTAAATAGTTGCACACCCAAATAAAATAAGAAAATAATCATAAACAATTAATTCGGAAGAACATAGACGATTTTTATTGAGAAATTAGAAAATAATAAGAAATTATTTAAACAAATAATTTCATGTCTTGGGTTTTAGCATCATCCTTAACCAAAAGAAAATCTAGCCTAACATAATTGAAAAAAAAGCAAATAATAATAATAATAATTATAAATGAAAAACATCTGGAGTTCAAAGAAAGAAGAAAAGAAGAAAAACTCTTGATAATTCTTGGAAAAATATTCATGCGAATGAATTTCTCTTGCATTTTTGAAGAAAACCTCCTTCTTCTCTCTCATTTTCTCTCCAAAAGGAGGTTGAAAAATTATGAGAATCGACTCTTAATACAATCCCAAAGTCCCTATTTATAGGTTTCTACGTTGAGGCTAAATAAGGTTAAATTGAGAGTCAAATCGGAGCTTTCTCCCGCTCAGGTCTAGCTCTGCCTGGGTGCACAGCTGAGCTGCGCGCTTGGATGGCCTACCTGCTACTGCGTGCACGGACTGGTGCGCCTGTACCCTACACGGGCGCATGGCTGGCACAACCAGATGGCATGAAATTTTTCTAATTCTTCTCTTTTCCTTTCTTTTCCAAAGATACTTTATAGGCCTCGTTCATTTCACCGATTCAAGTTTTCAGTTTTAAGTTTCGACAGTAAAAAGCTCTCAGAAAATGTTATATGTAACTTTTTCTGCTACAGTAAAAAGCTCTTAGAAAATGTCACATCTCAGCTCGAATTGAAAACTCGAATCCGCAAAGTGAACGAGGATTTATATTTTCTTCATTTTGGCGTCCACCTTGATTCCGAAAAGTCTCCAAGTAAAAATATTTCTCCATTCTTTTGATTCCAAACACCTACAAAACACAAAATACTAATAAAAACTTTAAAGTTTTGAGAATTAAACAAATAAAATATGGAGAAATTTAATGAAAAATATAGAGAATTATTTACAAAATCTCGAAAATGAATTGTACCTTTTGTATTAACCGTTTTGAAAAAGAATTTTACCAGATTCATAGTTTTGAGTCACAGTTGCGTTTTTTCTACTCCCACTTTTGTATTAAAAAGAACACAATTAAGAAAAGGATGGTTCTATCCACACCCCTTTTAAATACACAACTCTTTTTTAAATTTACATTTTACATACCCATTTTGTTCCAAAATTACCCTTACTATTACAATGAATTTATTAATTATTGGTCATTTCTTTTCTCCTTTGACAACCACTATTTCATTTTGATTCCTTACTTTAATATTATTTCTCTATTTTTTGTTGAAAGCTTAGGCATGAAGTCTTTTCTCATGCATAAAGAAATTTACTATTACTTTTTTTTAAAAGGACATTTATTGTAATAAAAAAAATTAATAGTAAATTTACATTCTTTTGACAATTCTATTTAGGAATGTAATAGTAAATTTTTTAGCAGTAAATGTCCTCTAGTTATCTTGAAAAATATAATAGTATATTTTCTTTACGTATGGAAAAGAGGTTCATGCCTAAAGTTCCAACTGTAAGAAAAAAAAACCAGAAAGGAAAAATAGGGAGAGATAGGGAGATAATATTAAAGTAAAGAATTAAAATGAGATGGTGTGTAAATTGAAGGGTGGAAAATTATTGTTGCTCACTTTTAATTAGAGATGTCAATTGTGTCGTACTGTGCCAACCCGACCCATGATCGGTTAGGCTCATCGTGCTTGGCCTGGCCTATCGAAACTTCGTGCCGTGCTTGTGCTAGTCTAAGATTAAAAATCATAGGCTCGGCCTGGCCCATGGACCCAGGCCCATACATGCTTGTGCTCGTGTCGTGCCATTGCTTGTGCTCGTGCCTTTATCGTGCTTAGCACAATTGATTTTTGGACCGGCCCATTGAACCACTGAGTCGTTTAAAATTATTTTCTAAGAATTTTCAAATAAAAAATAATTCAAATAAAAATATAATTTCATATGCTATTACTAAGAAAAATAAAGAAAAAAACTTGATGCCATTATAAGTACTAATTCATAAATAAATTTTTACGTTAATAGATTTGAGAATGTAAATTTGTAATTGTCAAAAGTAATAAACATAGCCAACGGCTAAAATTTATTAAGGAATGCTATATTAATTGATCAATATATAAAGGGTATATTTTATTAAAGTATGATATTTTAATTAATTATAATATAATAATTTTTGTTAATTATTGTCAATGTTAAAATGATGAAAATTAATGTAAATAATTTAATTTTTTTAAGGTCAAATGAATTAATTTTTTTATGCAGATATATAATTTTTTTAAAATTATTTACAAATATGTAAATTGTAACAATAACGTAAAATTATCAATAAGAAGAAAAAAATTATATTTGTCGTGCCGGCCCATCGTGTTCAATGGGTCGTGCCATGTTAGTGTCGTGCTCGTGTTGTGCTCGTACCGTGCTTGTGCTTATCGTCGTGTCGTGTCGTGGCAGACTCACGTGCTAAAAACTATGAGCCCAGCACGGCCCACCATCTCATGTCGTGTTTAGTCCGGCCCACAACCTCGTGTCATGTTTAGTCCGGCCTATTATAATTCGTACCTCATGTTGTGCCCAACCCAAATATTTTCATACCGTATCATGATGCTTGATGGGTCACCCAACCCAATTGGCATCTCTACTTTTAATATCTTGCGTATGAATTTCCTCACCAAAGAAAAGAACTTCGTTGGTCCACACAATGAAAGAACATATTTGAGTTATGTTGAAGGCTCTTATGGGACCAACTCAATGAGAGAGAGAGCGTCAATTAATAAAATTACTTAAATGAGACCCTGAGATGAAATATGAAATATATTTGGAAATTGCCTACTTTTACTCTTGAAGTCATGACAGATTAAGATGTTAGGTAAATTTTATTTTTTTTCAGCATCTTTTAAAACATATTGTCAAATAGAAGAATTTGAAAAACATGTATAGGCTTAATTTTACAAAGCAACTTTTTCTATCATTATCCAAATTTACTAAGATAACCTTAATAATAAAACTTGTCAATCTATCTATTTTATTTTTCCATACCAAATTAAAAAATACATATTTATAAACAGTTATTTAAAAATTGCAAATCTTTAATAATATATTATGCTAAATTTTAATCAAATATTCTCAATAATTATTACAATACTTAAAAATAACAACAAAAATAAGAAATTTAGTGGAGGGATAATTTTTCCCTTGGATAAAAGTAGTTTAATTTTTAGAAATATTTTAAATGAAAAAATTAAAATTATATATTTTTTAAGTATTTTGGTGTAAAATATTATGAATACTGACTATAAAAATCGAAATAAAAGTAATTATTAATGTGTGCTAAAGATTGTCTATTTTAGTTATATACATTTCCACAATAATTTTTTATATAATTTACAAACACTTAAATTTCTATTTCTGATATTCACAGAATTTTAACAAAAAGTTTACCAAATACCTACATATTTTTTGTCACAATAACTTCTAACTAACAACAAGCCATAACAAATATTTTTAACAGTACAGTAATGCCAAACTGCCATTACATCTGTTTATTGCATCTAGACAATAAAACTGGGATGACCTAGTTTTTAAGCTCATGCTTACCTTTTCCGTATTTACAGCATTTTCCATTTATTTCATGTCATTTGAAAATTACTTTAAATTAGACCCTTGTGCTGATGAAATTAGAAGAGTGAGAAATACTATTTTTAAGTTTTGAAGTTCCATTACAAGCAACATTTACGTCCCTATTAAAGTATCTACATTGTAGAATTTTTTACTCTCTCTGTTTACATTCTTTTCCGTGATATATATTGAAATTAGACGAGGTATTATTATTATTATTATTATTATTATTATTATTATTATTTTTGCTTGAAGATTCTAATTTATGCTCTTTATAAATAACTAACAAGTTATACACGTGCTAATTCCGTCCATAATCTAAAAGGTATATGACTTAGGATGATTTAATCTAAAAGCTATCTAAAACGTAATCATGATTTAGGATGTTTTCTTGAAGTCACTTGTTTTCGAAGTTGGAAATATTAATAATCAAGAAAAAAAAAATCAATACCATTTTGCCAATGGACAATGGAATTCATAAGAGAACATTACAACAAACCCTCAGAATCTGTACCGAGTAAGTGAGAATATATAAAAATAAAAAATAAAATTAATAATTTCTTTTTATTTTAAAGACAAAAGAAAAAGTAGGTACTATTTTCATATGCTTTCTTGAAAGAAAAAAAAGTTACGCATTATATATATATATATATATATATATATATAAACATAAATTATTTAGTTTCTTTTATCATACGTACTGGGTCTCAAATTAAAGTGCGTGTCTGTAAACCAAATTATCCTTCAAAAGCAGCATTTCTAAGATCGTCTGCTAAATCAAGAAGATGCCATGCATATTCGTCATGTTCATAAATTATCAAAACTCTTTATGATATGCATTATTACACAGAACCAATTGACACGAAAAAAGAAAACCAGTATTACTAGTACTCATGACCCAGTAAACTTTTCCTTACCCTAACATGTAGCCCACCCTTCATCCTGAGTGTAAGAGCCATAACATACTCCGGACACGTGTCCTTATCCAATACGTCAATCTCAAACCTCTCAATCAAAGATGCTACAATCGACTTCATCTGAATATAAGCCATGTCCTTTCCTAGGCACATCCTAGGCCCGCCATGAAACACCGGAAACCTAAACGGGCTCTCTTGCCGGCACACGCCGCCTTCGAGCCACCGCTCCGGCCAATACTCTCGGCAGTCTTTTCCCCAAATGCCCTCCATTCTCCCCATTGCGTAGGAATTATACACGACTACCCAATGTTTCCCCACAAATGTCCCGTCAGGCATTACATCCTCTTTCAAACACACCTTTGAATCTATCGGTACCGGCGGGTAAAGCCTCATGGACTCCGATATCGCCGCTTGCAAATAATGCATGTCTCGGATATCCTCAATGTCGTATGTATCGCCGGTTTTTTTCCCGGTTCTTGTCCGAATTTCTTCGAGCTCTTCCAAGATCTTTGCTTTTACGTCCGGTCTTGACGATAAGAGCCAAAAGAACCATGTCAGAGCCGACGACGTCGTATCTCGCCCCGCGAGGATGAAGCTAATCGCGATGTCTCGGAGAAACTCCGCCGAGTTCTCGTCGTTCTCTATGAACCGGGAAAGCAAATCCTCCGCGTTCGCTTCTACCTTCGTTTCCATTCTCGACCGTATGATACCGTCCGTAAATTTATGGACGGCGGATATAGATTCTCTTAGCCGTCGCTCTGATCCAACGTTGAAGAATCTCTTGAGCTTCCACATAGAAGGTATAGCGTAGAAGAACCTTCCACAGCTAAGCGTCGCCGCTTCTTCGAAAGCCTTCATGAACTCTTTGCCGGCGCCGGAAGTTCGATCGAAGGCGAGACAAGCCGGATCGAAATTAAAGGCCAACTTGCAAACGTTATCAAAGGCGAATCTCTCCAGAATATCTTGCAAATCTAATACCTGATTTGTGTCTGAGGCTTTGTGTAGAAGCGGAACAAGCCTCGTCTGAATTTCGACGACGACGTTTCGCATGACGAAGTTTCTAAGGGACCTGGTGTTGAACTCGTAGCTAGCTGTCTTCCTTTGCTTCCTCCACAGCTCGCCATCGGCGTTGAAAATTCCGTCGCCGAGGAGTTCGGAGAGATTGGTGATGAATCGCTCTCCTTTTGGGTAGTTATCGAAGTTGGTCTTGAGCATGTGCTCCACGTTCGACGGATTCGCCGTGAGAATGCCGTTTAACTTGTACGGACGGCTGAAGGTAGTTGTATAGGAGGGGCAGCCAGCGAGGACTTTGGTGCTCCATTCCAGGTACCGGTTGCGGTTGGCGACGAATCCCGGTAGGGTCCCGACGATGGGGTAGATTTTGAAGCCTGTTTTGGTTTGTCGTTTTTTCAAGGACAAGTAGTATTGAAGGTAGAGGGTAATGAGAGAGAGGACAAGGAGAAGGACAGACTGGAGAGATAAGAGATCCATAGTTGTGAACTTGTACTAGGCTGATGCTTGCTTATTTTTTATTTTTATTTTTTTTTGCACGAAGGCTGATACTTGCTTAGTTGATCTTGAAGTAGCTATATATATACATCTTATACCTAACATAAAGGGCAGAGGCCGTTTCTCCCTTTAATGTTGCGAAATATTTCACACGTGAAAGCGAATGTGCGAAAGGTTTCGCAAGGAGTTTTTCCTCCTTTCCCCACCTTCAATGAGTCTTTTTTTCATTTTTTTTTCTTTGTTGTTCTTTTTTTTTTTTTTTTTTTTTCCGATTTTTTTGCTTTAGATATATAATATATGTGTATATATGTAATAGCGACCATCAATGTCATGGTTAATTATTCACAAGAAAAAAGGAGGGAAAAATTACCACCGATCACATAATTAGGTGACAGAAAACAAAAATTGAGGATAATAATAGTGGTTATTAATTTTGCTAACACACTAGCTAGTAATTACTTATTATTGATGTTTCGTTCAGATTTTGATTATCTGCTTTGAGAGGTGACATTTAACTTAGAATTAGATTCGAGTATTGTTTGGGAAAATGCGGAAAAAAAACATATTAGTAATTGAAATCTGGTTATTCTTAGTTGTTAAGGAACTTGACTTTTGTAGTAGGAAGCAGTGACGGAGTTAGGATTTATTAGTAAGAGGTATTTTTTTTATTAAGATTATACTAACATGTGTATATATATATATATGTAACAATTTTTATTTATTAAATTAATTCATAACATATTGATACATGAATGCATCGATATTATATCTAAGTAGGAAAACATATCACATGTAGTTTATATGTAATTATAAATAAAAAAATGCAAAAAAAAAAAAAAACTGAAATGCAGAGACTATTAATTTAAAGGGGTCAAGTGTACATACCTACTATATTAACATCAAAACAACTATATTAGAAGGAACAAAAAAAAAAAAAAAAGCTAGGGGGGCCATGGTGTCCTGCCCCCTGTCTTCGCCATTGGTAGGAAATCCTTATGGATTACTCTGAGCTATTAAATATTAAATCCAAAAAAATTTGTGTGAAAATCTTAGGGAACTTAATAAAGATCCATGCTCGGCCAGAACTCTCCACTACTCAAAAAATATATTGTACCATACAAAAGTATTCTCCTAATTGTTAAATGAGAGTTTAATTAACACTACAAAAAAACAAATCAAAGTCTCTCCATTGGGCTCGCTAATATTGACCTAGCCCGAGAATAAAAAGGCCCAATACAAGTTACGAAGTCCAGTACACAGTTTACTCTAACTCCAATTAATGAGCCCAACTAATTAAGTGGAGCAAATCTGATTTTTAGTTCCAGTAAGCAAATGGCCTCAAATGAGAATCATAAATCACGACCCTCTTTCAAAGGTAAAGCAATAACCCTCTTTCATATGATGCAATTTGTAAGAGATTGGTTTGATTTTGAAGACAATAAAAATGCATTTTGTGTCACATTAAGAGATGATATTGCTAAATGTGGGGACATTATTCAAGAGGAAACTTCAGATCATTTTCGATGTGGTTACAATTAAAGAGTTAGAGTGAACAAATTAAGGTTCAAATTGATGTTGGAGCTCAAAGTGAACCAACGAATTTGTTGATAAAGAAATAAATACAATTGGAGAACAACCTCGCAAGCCGTCAAGTGAAAGAGCTAATTTTGGAGATTTGTTAGTGAACCAATTGTCTCTTTTTGAACACCTTGTTGGTACACTAGGCGTTCAATTTGAGAAATTTAAAACAAAGGAAGGAAGGTGAGGTCAACAGCGATCGATTTGGATTTTCTCAGTATTTTGTTGGTCCATTCCTTTGGTACCTTTGTGGGTGTTGGATGTGATACGAAGGAGCTACTCAGTTGAGGTCTTCCACTCGCACAAATCTAAGTGGGAGTCTTTTGCTACCATTAGTTTCGCTCGCTACATCACGTTGCTTTCCAAGTGATCCTGTCGAATTTGACGTCGAGTTCTTTTCATTGGCAAGGGTGAAATGATGTAAGGAGTTTTAGATATAGTAATCGTTTAATAAATTAGCTTTACTTGGTTTTAGTTTGTCGTTTATTTTAGTGGCTATTTTGTTAACGTTTTGTATATGGACTATAAATAGTCACTTTACCCATATCTAATGCTTAGACTTGGATAATTGAGATATTGAATTCTAAAGTTAAGCGTTCTCTCTAATTTGGAGATTTTTCCTTTATAGAGTTTGTTTAGGTAGATTTGGAATTGCATGTCTCTTCTGTCGTCCAGGCTGGTAAAATTCTTATCTATCAATTCTGTTGCATCACAAGTCCGGTAAACTGAAACACAAACATAATTCATTTTACGGAAACGCGTCTGGTTATCCTGCTGGTTAACCAGACACAATGTTTTCTAGCATTGTTTTGCTCATTCATTTAATTATGAGATTTACATTTACAACTCTAGTTTTAATTCAAATAATCCAATGTACAACTTATTTGATTAATACAATTGTGTGTGTATATATATATATATATATATATACATTCTAATATCAAATAAAAACAAAACCATTAATTAAACCAATTTAGCTTAAATTAATTTAAATTACTAATTCAACCGATAAATTGTTCTTGAATTAATTAAATTTTTTTATTAATTCAACCAATTAACTTGAATTAATTTAAACAATTAATTCATCCGATAAATTTCTCATAAATTAGTTTCATCTGGTTTATAAACAAGTGCAGAAATAACATAAGTTACCAATATTTTTAAAACACACCTTACTTTATCAAGAAAGCGTATGACATAGCAGAAGGACCCAATGGACATGTGTAGATCAAGCTTCTGTAATTATGGCAAAACTTATTCACTCACGAATAGAACTGCACTTTCGTTCTGTACAGTATATTTCAAAAGCTCCAATTTATTATGCTGTGCATCATCCCTATAGGATTCTATAATCGACTTAAAATTAAGTTCGGTTTTGCCTTCTTGATTATATTTATCTTCTGTTCCATTACCACTCCAATAAAAAACCACTATTTATACCAATATTACAATCTTAACATGAATAAAACGCACAACTTTATTTCCTTAATTGTAGATCAAATAATTTAGACTATCATCTTTAGATTCACGTCTTCCGTATATTCTTCACATTATATGCATGATCTAAAGATTTAGAGTGACAGTCTCAGATTTCAAGTTTGTTTATAATACATTCACCTAATACGAGCGTAAAGAGGACAATACTTAATATATGAAATAGATAAATAATCCTTTATTGATCTCAAAATGTCTAAGGCATTATTTGGTTCAACCATTCAAATTGTTGATTTAGTATGAGTTGTGGTGATTTGAATTGTGGTGCATTGAATTGTGATTCAAAACGGTGTTCAAATTTGCAAATAAATTGTAATTTAAATTGAGAATAAAATTCAGGCTGTGTTAGTATAAAGTGTTGAAAATTGTTATTAGATTTTTGTAACAAATCTTATAAAATCTCATTGTAAATGACATCTAAAAATATGCAATATGGATGGAGATTTGTTCATCTCTTCATTATGAACATATTAAAAAAACACATCTCAACTAGAATTAAAATGAAGACATTATGACATTTTTTAAGCTTGAAATTGAAGAGAGAGAAAAAGTACAATCAAAATTGTTTTCATTGTAAAAAAACATTTAGGATTGTTAAAATTTAGGTGGGGTGGTAAATTCTAAAATCTAAGAGTTTAAACTATTGTTAATTGTTTGATATGTCCAGAAATTATCCTCTACCAAACATCAATTTGAATCTTGAACTACAGTTTGAATCATAAACAACAATTCAGATAGTTGAAACAAAGAGAGGCTAAATAATATTGTCACATTTATTCCTAAAGGGCCCACTCCATCAACCAATCCATTCCTCTTCGCCACAAAGCATAACGACTACTATCCTCCTTGTTCTTTTTCATGTTCTAGCACACATGAAAATCCTTATCCGTGAACTCAGTCTTGGCCCTCTCGGCCAAAGCAGAAGCACCCAAAATTGTTCTCCAAGAGTTGGGCATCAACTGCCAGAGAGCGATGTGGTAATATCTCAAAAAATAGGAGGCAAAATAGGGGAGTGGAAACCTCACCCCAACTTCAACAAGACCTCATACACAGCAATCCACTCCTCACGGGGGCAATCAGCCTTCTCATCAGGATCGGGGGCTCGGATCTCAAACTAATTAGGAATACCATACTCCTTCCACAGTCGACTGATCTCACTCAGAGTAATGATAGAAGACGGATTCTTGTCGTCCTCAAGGTCGTCCTTACCAATATACTTGTGGTCCTGGGGAGCTAACTCGACTTCTTTGCCGGCCTCGAACGACTTCTTCGAGTGACGAACCGAGGTTCCTACAAGTGACTCCTCTTCGCCGAAGCAGCCGCTGTCGGCCCCACTAGGATTCCAGCAGCCTCTGACTTTAAGGAAGCCCTAAAAGCATCAATCAAAGATGCCACGATTGGTACGATTCCTAAAACTTTGTCAAAGTTCCGTTTCAATTAATCCTCTTGTTTCTTTTTCTAGGACAAATACAGGGAAAAAGAACAGTATCCCAAACAATTCAAAATCCACAAGAACTGATTGCTACAAGCCAAGAATCTTTTGAAGAATCTTCTGTTACGAGATTTTAAGAAGGTTCCAAATCGCACCAGAGTTGGTCCAAATCTCAAAAGATAAGAAGTCCACAAGGAGAGAAGATCAAAGACAATTGAGAAAATCAGCTCTATAAAGAAATGAGAAACTAAGCCTAAACAAGCAATCAGAGTTTGCAGCTATAAAAAGAGGCCTTTCCTCAACATCCCATTCATCCCAACTCGTGCACTACCTTTGCAATACCCCTTATAGTCGTGCCTCTCTATCTCTTTCCTCCATTATTGTCCCCCTCTAAGTTTTTTCAAGTTTCTTTGTAATATTTTCTGTATACATAGTTGAAAACCAAATATTACAGTGGACATAACCCTTCATTACGAGTGAACCACTATAAATTTTGGCGTCTCATTTTATTTCTCGCACTTTACTGTATTGCTTATTCGCTAAATCGACCTTAGACAAACAGATGAAACATGTAGCACTTCGTGAATTGGCCATTAACCCCCAATATAAAT